TTGTTGCTGTTGTTGTCAGCAGTCATATGAAACAAAAAACGAATAACATAATATTTATTGTTGCTGATGATCGAGCTGACGAGTTTTTGTGTGTTGTTTGATGAACTGCGCCCTAGAAACAAAGTGCTGAAATTTCAATTTCGAATTCCAGAATTGTAAACTACAGTACCTACAAATGTTTAGTATATCGAAATAAATGAATATTTATATTTAAATTATTTAATATGAATTTGATTGCAAATAACGTCTTATATCACTCAGACAGTTTAAAAATTTTGGTAACAATCTTTCGGAAATACTTTGTGTAAAATTTTAAATTTTACTCATTAAAAAAAGTAAGAATAATATTGAACAAAAATATGACATTAATAAGTTTGTTAATAAAAAAATAAAAGTAAGCATGAATTATTAAATACAATCAATATAAATAAATAAGAAATCCCAAATAAATATAAAATTGTTTTTAAAATAAGAATTTCAAATAAATTTGACATATAAACATTTTATTCCTTCAGTATTTATTTATTATATTTAATAGTTACAAGTCAATTACTATCGATAATAATGTGAGCCTTTTATAATTCGCTTACATAACATCTCATTCACTTTCTAAACCTAGTTCAGTTTCAGAAATTTCGCTAGTGATTAGTGATAAAAATTACTGGTATACTTTATCTATAGACTCCATACAATCACGTATTATTGAGATGTTTGCAGAGCCTACAAATGTGAACCTCATTTATCAGCTTATTTGCCTTGCATGCCAAATAAGCACTATAATGCATTCAATATATATAATATATTCTATATCTCTAAGCATATGCTACCTACTGCGAGCTACATTTTTGGCATTCAGTTCAGGTTTTCACCATGACTCATTGCATGTGACACACTATCTACACTTTTCTTTGATAAACTAATCAGCATTTACAAGTGAATCACGCATAGCGCTTTGATATTCAATAAAGATTGAAATCTGATAGATATGACCCTCCATTTACAAAGGAAACTAAATAATTTGAAGATTTTGAATTAAGAAGCATAAATATTATATATAGAATTTGCATATTTGAAGCCACGAAAAATCATTTGACTGATAAATCAGTTTATCTAGATATTATTTTTCTTTCAAGTTGATTCCTATCTATATTAATTCTTAGAACCGAATTATTGCATGAAAAAACATGTTTTTTATAGGGATGAAATTTATAGAATCATCAAGATCATCCCTATATGATCAGATTGCTGTTCACCTGTTTCTCAACAGCCCTGAAATTTTATGTAAGATTTCTTATATTTTCTTTAGAATGGAAATAAACCCTTTTCCCAAACGCATTTCAACCTGTAAATGCGGTGTGTAAACTCAGCGTATAAGAGTACGCAGTTCTATTTTTGTAAATTCCTGTCTAAAGTTCGTATTGACAGATATCTAAACATAGCATCCACTGAAATGCCAGCAACAAATAAACGGCAAATGGCGAAAACAAATGAAACTGAAATTTCTCGTACGAATTATTGAAATATTTATGCCTACATATATGTATATGTGCATATATATTTATATCTAGAGTCTAAAGTATAGTGTGCCTGAATAAACAGGGCATTTGATACAACCATAAGGCATGGCTCAACTTTCATTCATTCGTATTGGCATTCGCATTCGCATTCGCATTCGCATTGTTTTATTTAATTTCCTGCGCGTTCTATTCAACTTTGTTTAAAAAGAAATGCAAATGTTTGCTGTCGTTTGTT